CAAATCAAAATGTCAAGACGGCTTTCCCCGAGCGGCTTATTTATCGGCGCGACGAACACGGGAGCCGGCAAGAGTGGTAACAGGGCTGGGACTCAGCCTCGTCATGCTTCCGACGACGCCCTGGACAGAATGAACTGACAGTGTGGCTGTCACCAAAATGATCACCGACACCTCAAGTCACACATCTCTCTCACGCTCTTTAAAGCCCTGGTTTATTGCCAGAAGGCACCTGGAGCATGTGGGGTAGCGGACAAGATGGGGTAGCTGAGATGCAGCCAGAGAACTAAAGTTCCTTCATTCTGGGAAGGGGTCAGGGTCAGGCCACAGACCGCCAGTAAGTATTGTGTACCTTTAGTACGCGCTGTGAATTAAATAGAAAAACAAACAAACAAACATTACCAACTTCGGATCCCACCTGTTAGAGGGTTGAGTTGAGCAGAGGCAACCGAATTACTCCTTCCCTTGCTGGCTGCTGCAAAAACATCCCTCCCTCCCCTGTCCTGCTGTGTACTCCTCTCTCCCCTCCCCTTGGCACTGGGGACCCAGAAAGGCTCAGTGATCTTTTCTTTTCTTTTCGTTTTTTTTTTTTTTTTTTTTTTTGCGCCAGGTGCCCAGATTCTCCCTGTCATTTCAAGGGGCTCCTTCCCAAACTGAAGCGGCAACCAGTGCGAGAGCCAGTCTAACACGTCAGAGGCTCAGGAAGGCTCTGGAAAGAACTCAGGGGCCGAGCGCCTTTCCGCCAGTCCTTGCTTCACCTCTGCAAGGCGGTTCGTGATGAACCAATGTTGGTGGAGGTGCCAAGGGGCTTTCTGGGCACGAGTCAAACGTACCCGGACTGCCAAGTACTTGCAGACACGGATGTGCCAGACGTCAAGGGACAAGGGCACAGGAAGACAGGCCTCCCTGAGATCTTCTCCAGCAGATAAAATCCCTGGCTCTCCCTGAGTTATGTCTCAAGAACAGCCTGCGAAATATATATCAAAGGGCGTAGGATCTTCACGCCATCTGACGGATTCCATCTAGAACTTGACGTGTGGAAGGCACTGTGGGCGGACCCACAGAGCGAACGATACAGGCGTTCAGAACCCCGGGGCGTCTACGAAATGCCCAACAAACGGGGAAAGATCAAATGAGCTCAGACACATCTGGGTGTTGAAAGCCGCTGCTGCAGCTCAAAATGCTGGTTTGAGAGAAGATTAAGGCTGGAGGAAAACACTGGACACAGGAAGCGAGCAAAGATTAGAAAAAGCGTGTCCCATGTGTTTCTGCTGTTGCCAAATAAAAAAATAAGTAAAATAAAATAAAAATTCAGGCTCTGTCTCCCTCCTTGCACGGAGCGGAGCCACCGGACTGCAGGGATCAAAGCTAAAGTCATGGGAGAATCAGGTGGTTTCATTATGGGAGTTTTCATTTTCATTTTTTGTGCCTGTCCGATTTTTTTTCAAGATTCCGACCATGATTCTTATTTTACAGCAGAAAAAGAAGGGAGGATGAAGGTGGGGATGGGGCCCAGACGCTCCCCAGGGATCTGTTCTGGCCTCCACAGCTCTCTCCCGTGGACCCACTAAGTGCCTCTGCGAAGCCGGGGCGCGGCGCTCCGGGACAGCCAGGGGCGTGCCGATGGAGAGGTGTGTCCCCTGCTTTCCAGGAGTGCGGCTGTCACCCGGGCAGGCCCGGGTCTTCCTCCTGCCCGCTGGCCCCCTTCTGCCAGTTATTCTGGGAAGATGAACTCATGAGTTAACTCTCTGGCTTCGTCGAGCAGAGAAATACCACAAAAAGGTCAGCCTTCTATTTTAGGCCCGCTGATAGAAGGAGCACTGGGCTGGGAGTCAGAACCCCAAGCCTGCATCCAAGCTCTGCCCAAACGGCATGTGGTGACCTCTCCTCTGTGGGCCTCCACATCTTAATGTGAAAAACAAGAGAGTAAGTGAGGATCTCTTGGCTTAAATGGTCAATCCTTTTTACCTGCAGGTACACATTGGATTTGAACCCTGCCACCTTTTTGGGAGGTAGACAAATCTCAAGGTTCATGGGTTCGAGCCCCACGTCAGGCTTTGTGCTGACAGTGCAGAGCCCGCTTTGGATCCTCTGTCTGCCCCTCTCCCTCAATCAATCAATAAAAATGTAGAAAACCAGGAAGATCCGGCATTCCGGGGCCCCACTCCCAGGTGGCAGCAGTGGGAGGGAGGGAGCTGACTCCATCCCCTCTCAACCTGACTGCTTTGTGCCCCCAGGTGTTCTGGCTGTTCTGCTGTACTTAGGCTTACATTTTTGGTCAAAGGCCCGGGACTCAGGGAAGTTCCAAACCCCAGAGACCCTCTGGGTCAGCTCCCAGAGGGAGCTACCTCCAAGCCGTACCCTGCCAGAATCGCTGGCAGGGCATGCGGAGATGGGGCCGTCTGCCTCCAGCAGCCCACATGGGTCCTCAGACTGAGCGACACGAGCCACCTGCTCTCCGCCTCAGCTGGGATCTTCCCTAGCTCTGGAATTCTCCTTTGCCTCTTTTCTGTCTTCACAAATCCTTTCTGGAGGCTGTAAAGCTCAGGGCCAGCTTGGGCAAGAGCTTCTGCCACCAGTGGGGTTAACCACCCTCCCGTCTGCCGTTATAGGACCTGGCCTTGCCCAGTGGGGCACAAGCCACTTCCCTGCATGGACGCCTAGGTGGTCTGTACAACATTCCTCACTTAACAGGCAACACCTGGGATCCTCTGGGGTTGAGAGGGATTTGGACAGTATTTCTGATACTATGTGTTGACTCCAAACATCCAATTTTCCCTTCATTAGTTACAGGACTTGGCAGCCAGGCCTGGCCATGTGGCTAAGTTGCGGACAGGGAGATAGAAACGAAAGAGGCATGTCGGATTTCCCAGAAGGCTCCTTAAAAGGAACGAGGTATGCTTTCCTCCATCGGGCTTCCTGAAACACGGATATGATGGCTGGAACTCCAGCAGCTATATTGGACCATGAGGATGACTCACATATCAGGGGTGACAGAGCATGGAGCAGGAAGGGGCCTGGGTTCCTGAGGCTTTGTGCAGTACTTGACTGCCTCCACTTCCTCCACTTGAGAGGGAAATAAACTTATCGTGTGGGGGGTTTTCTTTACTGTGTAGCTGAACCTAAATCTTAACTGACAGTTGCAAAAAAAGCTTTATTAGTGCAGGGATGTGAGCTGAGCTTTGCAGGGACAGGGACTAGCTGGTGTCCAGAGCTGGTGTGGGGAAAGCTGGTCTGCACCTTCCGGAGGGATTCTGGGAGGGTGGAGTGAGCAGGAAGAAGGAAAAAGGTAGATGAGATGGGAGCCACCTCCACCAATCTTTAGGAAACACTCCTTCAATGCTTTCCTCATGGGGTGCAAGTGGACTTTTTAGGTGGAAAGCAGGGAAGGGATTGAGTTTCCATCCGGGTTCACGCCAGGCCAGGCGGAGATCATGCACGAGGGCCAGGATCTGAGAAAGCAGAGGGTGGGAAGGCTTGTGTGTGTGCAGCTGGAGAATGGGGGGTGGGAGCCAAAGGTTTCTTAAATGTCTGAGGGGCAGGAGGCCCCAGCTGACCTCTGTGATCTGCCAAGAGCTGGCGCTATTTGGCACTGCAATTCCTCTGAGGACACTGCTTACGTGCACCCACTTCTAGTTAAAACCGAGAAGATGTGAGAACTATCAGAGCAACTGGGGATTCCACGGGGACCCTGCAGAGGGCTGGAGGGGAAGGAACCCGGCTGGCCAGCCTAGAGCTCACCTCGGAGGGACTGGGCCCTCGGGTCAACGGCATGAGCCTTGCCCCAAGGCCTCAACCCCTACAGATGCTCTCACGTACTACCTGCCTCTAGGAAGGATTTGAGGTGGCTAAGATTTTAATTTTTTTAAATTTGTAAGTACTTATTCTGAGAAAGAGAGAGAGAGAGAGAAAGCAAGCGAGCGAGCACGGCACAGGGGAGCAGACAGAGAGAAAGAGAGAGACAGAATCTGCCAGCACAGAGCCCGATGTGGGGCTCAAACTCACGAATCGTGAGATCGTGACCTGAGCCGAAGTTGGGTGCTTAACCGACTGAGCCACCCAGGCGCCCTGGTGGCTTAGATTTTAAAACCCAAACCCAAATGCCATAGATATTGAGTGCCGAAAGCCACTAAAACACAGACTGAATGACAAAAGGCAGGAGGGAGCAGAAAACCACACCGGAACAGCTCCCAGCTATGGGAAGCTGATGTCACCAAGCTGGCTCTGCGCTTCCTGGGAGCCCAGACCGCAAGGAAAAGCATCCCTGGGGGCCTCCCGCTGGTGACACGCGAGTTCGCACGCAAGGTTCCTGTCCTGACACCCTCCTGGAAGATGCAGCTGCCTGCCTGGAGATGGGGCCCCGCTCTGGGGGTGTTAACGGCACCTTGCGACGCTTCTCACACATTTCTTCTTCACTGCCCGCGAGCTAAAAGCAGAGCACCCCTGGCGGCCCGGTGCCCTGCCAGGGGTGGGCTTCCGCTGGTTTCTCTGTGGTCACCACGCCAGTGCGGGTCCTACCTGCGAGCATCAGAGAGAGGGTGGGAGGGTACCCCAAAGGCTGACGCCTACAGGCCACAAGCTGGAACATGGCCGGGCCAGGCCAGTAACGTCATCGGTGAACTAGGAGGGGCCGTCGTGAGGGGCGGAACCCAGCTCCGTCCCTTACCTCTTACCATGAGGACTCTGAGGCTGGGCGCGGTGGGGGGTGGGGATGTGGGGGAGAAGGAGATGCAGGGACCTGCAGAGACCCTTCTGGTTTCCCTTTATGATGAGCCCCATGTGATTTACTGCTGCAGGGGCATGTGCACAAAGCTTTAGGGGCAGTCTACGCCCCCCAACCCCCAACTGGCTGCTGGAAGCCATTCCTGATTTTCTCCATGAGCACCTCCTGTCCGGTCCGGGGGCAAATCGGGCGCTTGGGTGAGGGGGCGTTTCTAACACCTCCTTTGAGCCAAGCCTGAGCAACCACAGGGGACCCCTGGATCACCAACTGGCTGCACCTCAAAAGGCTTCAAGACTTTTATTTCTGGTGGCACTTGAAGAGGTGACATGTCCAACAAACAAAAACAGCTGGGGGCCTGCAGGACCCCTGAGCCTACAGCTCTGTATCCACAGACAAATCCTCTTGGATTTTAAGGACTATACTCGAAAACCTGCAGGAAAGAAAAAATGGCCTTTCAGCGTCTGGCTTTCTTCTCTGTGCCGCCTCTGCCCCAGCTTTGCCCCTCAAGGTGGTTCTGCGCCCGGGTGAAGCCTGCCCGAGGGGGCTGCTGTACCCCCGCGGGGGCCGAGGCCTCGATGGCCCTTCGGTGGCGGGGCGTGTCTGGGCTGTGTGAACACCACCGGCACCTTGCTGCGCTGGGACCCTTTTCGCTGTCTTGGACTCGGGTACCCTCTCCGGCCACAGAGTGTCGGTGGCATGCGGGGGGCGCAGGGGGCCTAGGTGTCTCGAGACTCAATTCTGGGGGCATCGCCTCGCTCTGGAGTTTTAAAAAGGAAGGCGGCTGCCGGGACCTGGGCTTCATTCCCGAGCCCTGGGCCCCTGCCTTGCCCGGCCCCTGCCCTTTCCGGAGGTATTACCGTCTGTACATCAGTAAGCAGAGAGCGCCACAACAGTCTCCCAGCAGAGGCGCTAGAAAGCTCAGCAAAGGCCATCTCGACTGCCTCTCTACTAAGGCGGGAACCAGGGCTGCAAGAGCAGGGAGATGGAGGCGGGTTACACAGCTGTCAGGGCGAGGGGGTCACCGACCTCCGACTCCTGTGGTCCCGGCACCCAAGGGGGCAGAACCTGGAGCCACTGGCCAGGGCTGGGGGTGGGGGTCAGCCTTGCTTGCAAAGGACGCCCCCCCTACCGAGGCTGTCACCAGCCTTAGAAGTGCCTGGTTCTTTCTGCCAACTGGTTCATCTCAGCAGCCCTGCCCTGTGCGCTCAGGCCACGGCGGGGTTAGGGCCACACCGACACACGCCTGCCTCGTGTGTCCTACCGAGTGGTGTGTGCACAGGGGCCGGGGAATCCGTGTGCATCTTCTGCAGGAGGTGTGTGCCCTCGGCACAGAGGAACACACTCCCCGACACAGCCGTGTGCGCCCGGCCCTGGCTGCACCTGCACTTTGCCAGGACTCGGGCCCCGCAGCAGGGGGTGGTTACCCAAGCCCCTCCTACCGGGTGCTTTACCAGACTGGGGGCAGGCCAGGCCAACAGATGACGACATCTGGTTACACGTCATCCACAAACGAACTGGAGGTACTCTCTGGAAGTACGTGAGTCCGACAGAATCAGGGAGTGCGTGCAGAGCGGCACAGAGAGAGATCTCGATGGGTGCTGGCCCAGAACAAGCTTCAAAAGCCAAACGCGAGGCCCTCGAATAGATAAGGACTTTATTGCCTCTGTTGTGCCAGGGCCTGTGGGACCCAGGCAAGCAGGTGGCTGCACACACAGCTCTGTCATCTGCAAGGGAGGAGCCCTGAGAAGCCCATGCTGGGCTCTGGGACTGGAGTGCCCACTCTGGGCACTGGGGACAGAGGTGAAGGCAGCGCCCCGGGCCTGGCCACCCCACGGGGGCACACGAGCACAAGCGAGCCATGTCACGCTGCAAGCCGGCGTGCGCTCAGGTGCCAAGGGTGACAGCAGCACGCCTTGCAGAGCGGCAAGGCCAGAATGAGGTGATACAGTTCAAGTGTAGAGTTGGTGCTGTTTTGATGACTCAACTGCATGGTACCTAGAACTTGGGTCCAATGAAGCAAGAATTGAGTACTTTCATTTTTATGTCTTTTCTTTTTTCTTTTTTATATAACAAATTTTAATGTTTATTTATTTATTTATTTTGAGAGAGAGAGAGACAGAGACAGAGTGCAAGTGGGAGAGGGCAGAGAGAGAGGGAGACACAGAATCTGAAGCAGGCTCCAGGCTCTGAGCTGTCAGCACAGAGCCGGACGTGGGGCTCATGATCTGAGCCGAAGTCAGATGCTTAACTGACTTTCTACCCAGGTGCCCCACTTTTCTTTTCTTTTCTTTTTAAAAAAAGTTTATTTATTTATTTTGAGAGGGAGAGTAAGAACATGAGTGGGGGAGGGGCAGAGAGAGAGAGAAGGAGAGAGGGAGAATCTCAAGCAGGCTCTACGCTGCCAGCACAGAGCCCAATGCGGGGCTCGAACTCACGAACCATGAGATCACGCCCTGAGCAGAAATAAGAGTCGGACACTTTACCGACTGAGCCCCCCGGGCACCCCTACCATGTTTATGTGTCTTTCCCTACCCAGGGGGTATGTGGCTCAGCTCTCTGGAGAAAACAGCACATCACAAAGCAAGATTCTTCCTCCTGTGATCGGTTGTGACTGAAGGTCTTAGGAGTGAACAGAGACAAATATCTAAGTTTGAGGGATTTATATGCAAACTGTGTATGAGAAGATGGGGTTCTGTTATTTTCATCTGGATTCTTCGAATCTTGTAGGTTACACTTGGGTTCAAGACAAGCATGAACATGTTCTGTGTTTGCTCAGGTGGAGCAGAATGAAATCGTCCTTGTGAAAGATGTGCACTGGGACACACTCAAGGGGACAGGGGAGGGGACAGCCAGCTGTGCGTCCAAGCCAGTGGCTTTCCCTGGGTCTCTGTCCCTCAGTCCCCATCGCACCCCGCAGAAGCCTGTGGATCTGTGGACACACACGCATGCTCCCCTCCCCAGCTTACAGTCGTCTTTTCATTTCCAAAAGGCAAACTGCTTCAACAAAATGCTTGGAAATGATCTTGGCACTTAAGGGGGCATGCGTTCCTTGATGGAAAGCCCCGGGGCAAGGGGGCTCGCGAGGCCTCGGAGGGGCTTCTCTGATGGGCCACCGTGCCCCGCTTTCCCTCTGTGTTTCCCTGCAGATGCTAAGCTAATGTGCTCGACTCTGAAATCACCCTGGCTCTTCTGCATTCGTAGTTTTCACTTATTTTTTTTTTAGTATTATTAATATTTCATCATAAAAGTATTGATTTCCTTTAACTAAGAGACTTTAAAGTTTGCTGCATCCTTAAGCATGATTTTATTATGTCTTGGGGCCAAATGTTTTTTCCTCCCCCCCACTCCCCCACAAAGGAATGCTTTTCCTTTTATATAATGTGTGTCAAGAAGAAAAAAGGAATTGATTCACAGAATTCTGCATTCTAGGCAACTTTGAAGGAATGTATCTAGAGGGTAGACTGGATAGACATCTCCTAAACGTGCATCCAGGGTCTCACTGTTGAGCCTTTTTGTTAGAGGTCAGAGCCCAAGAACAAAATTTAGATGAAAATATGAGCTGGCTTTAAGTGGAGCTGAAACAGGGCAATTGTGACAACTCCAGACATGACCCTGAAGCTTAAAAAACTGTTCACAGGCGCCCCAGAAGACGAGGAGACATATTGCCGAGCTGGGGTCGCTTAGCAGGGGCTTAGCAGATAGTCTCCCTCCCTATTTGGGGCACCGGTATCGGAGCGCGGCTGCCGAGACAGGCAAAGGGCATCCGGGTTTTAGAGAACCCGTCCAGGAAGCGGGTGGAGGGCACTGACTGGCAAACCAAATGAAGCGCTCTGAAATGTTTAAATATTGAACAGCCTCCTTCTCCTTCCTCCACATTTATTATTAACTTGGACCCACGTGTCACTGTGTGCGCTGCCTTCATTTCTTCCCAAGAATCCATGACCCAATGGACTGGGCTCGGGGCTGGCAAGTGGGGGTGGGGGTGAGATTTGGGTTTTTTTTCCTTTCGTGCCCTCGCTGGAAATCCTTTACGGTCAGCTTGTTTTTAGAGCCACGAATTCCTGGAAACGTCTCAGCCTTTCAATGACCCCTGGCGCCCAAATGCAGATGATGAGTGCCCCAAATATTGACAGACCAGACTTTTTTCCCCTTCCCAACAAGGGAGCAGTGTCAGAGTGAGGCGGCGCGGGAGATGCCGTGCCCACTGGGCAAGCGGGGCTGAGCAAACATCACTCACACGGGCGATCTGTTGCTGGGGACCCTTGGCCCCGTCGGCTTCACCCAGGGGGAACCGATCCCCCCCGCACCAATGTCCCAAGCATCCGGTTTAAAACGAAAAAAAAATCTGTCTCCAGCTACCAGGTGTCCCTGGCTCAGTTATGACACGGGGAGGGCGGGTGGTGGTGGCACAAAGCACATCAGATGTCAGTGGTCGGGGCCCGCCGCCCGCAAACTCAGACCCAGGCCCGGCGGCGCTCCCTGAGAAGAGGAACCTTTGGGGCTGGAAATGTCCACCTAAAATCTTTCCAGATAATAGGGCAGCACCTTTCCTTGGGAATGAACAAAGGGGGCTAAGGTGGGCCATCCATCGCGCCCAGGCAGAAAGCGGCTGCCCTGCTCTGGATCCGCCGGCGAGGCAAGCTGGTTGCAAGCATTCGCCATTCCTGGGCTTTTATCTGTTCAAGCGAAATTGTCCCAAATGACCGGCCTACGGCTTCCACTTTCTTTTAAAAGACAGTGCTACGTTTGAGATCGATGTTTTCCCCTGAAATGCTGGCTAAATTTATCCTTCCCTGCATCCTGCTCTCTGGGCTCTGTGCAAGGCTGGTGAGAAGCGAGGGCCCGGCCTTGCTGAGGGAAGCATCTGTCTCTAAGGGCTCGCTCGTAGCTGGGGCACTCGAGCCCCAAGCCCGGCCTGTCCCTTTGTTCACCACGAACACCAAGCCCCCGGGTCCTCCTAAGAACCCCCCTGCCACCCCACTCTCTAAAGCCCCCGGCTTCCCGAGGTCTTTACCCCGGCTCTCAAAACCCACCCCGTTGGCTGGCTCTCAACGGGCCTAGAGGACCCCCTCCCCGGCCAGCCCCTGCCCCCCAGAGCGGCTGAGTGCTCATTATCGGATTGCCTTTCGAAGCAGTGGGCTGATGGAGGCTGCCTTGGGCCTCACGGGCTGAACTAAACCGGAGAACTTACTTCTCTCTCTTGGTCTTTTTGGCACGCTGCCCTGTGAGTGAAATGTCGCTGATTGATTTAACGCCTGATGCCCAGAAAGCCCAGTATTTTTCTGAAATCTTTATTCCCTGTATGCGGTTGCAAGAGCGCATGCCGTGAACGGACACTCTGAGCTACAGCTTCTATTCTGCCCTTAACCTGTGGTTGCTTTTTTCAGCACGAGTGAGAGATAAAATAAAAATGAGGCAGGAAGGAAGGCGCGCACATGCCCATGCTGGCAGGCACGTGCCTGCAGGCTGTGAGGATGGTTCTGTCTGGGGGCCCCAGCGGGCTGGCGTTTCCGGACAGTGGGGTACGGGTGTGCTCAGCGGGATACCCCTCGCCCCACTCCGATGTCTGGAAAGCAACCTGCAAGGTGCTGTCGAGAGCCTTAAACAGGGGCACCCTCGCTGACCCTAAGAAATCGTTTCCAGAGGCGTAACCGGAAACACAGACGAAGATTTCTATATAAGGATGTTCACCACAGGGTGAAGCACAGTGCGGGAGGAGCACCGTAAGTGGCCAGTATAAGCGGCCGGGCTAAGTCAATTCTGGCCAAACGTCAGACTGTTAAGAGTTGAACTGTGCCTCCCCAAGATTCTCACGTTGAAGCCCCAGGGCCTCAGAATGTGACCTTATTTGGAAACAAGGTCATGTGCAGACATGAGCAGTTGAGAGGAGGTCTAGGGGGGTGGGCTCTAACCCAGGGTAAGGGCTGTCCTGATGAGAAGGGAAAGCATGGACACA